CGTGACTGTAGCTGTGGTCATGGCCAGAGTGCAAGCAGTGCAAGCAGTGTCCCCAGGGGAGCTGGGGAGCCCTCTGGAGAGGTAGGGAGTGTTGCAGAGGGAAGCTGATGCAGCCGGATTAGGGAGAACAGATGGAGCGGTGGGAGAGGAAAATGGATGTTCCTCACAAGTCTTAGGGACTCAGTTGTCTGCCCATTCAGGGGTGGGAGGAATGGTGGTGGCGGGAGGGACAAATGGCTGTGTTCACCCCTCAGGTGCTCATAGAGTCTTAATGTCAGTAATGGAAGATGAATTTGTGTTGTAGGATGGTGGATGGGGTGCAGGAAAATGGGTGGGAGCAGCTTTGCAGTGGCAATCCCAGAACACCCAGAACTTTTACCCATTTTTTAATTCAACAAATAGTTACTAAGTACTACACTGAATAAGACATAGTGGCAACACTTTTTGTTTGCGGTATCCAGCACATGTCTCCTGACCACATCGTGTATATACCAGGCCCCGGGGATACAGTAGTAAACAGAAACCAGACACTCCTTGACCTGGAGCTCAGTCTAGTGTTAATCTATTCATTAACAGAAGAATCACAAATATATAAATGTGCCAATGTGATTAGGGATTCAAAGGAAAGGTTCCTGATAGTTGTGAAAACAAAAAAAGGGAGCTGAGGTTTGTTTACACAATGGAATGCTACTCAGCAGAAAGAAGGAAGGAACTCCTACCCTTTGCAGATGGATGGAACTGGAGACATGCTAAGTGAAATAAGCCCAGTGGTGAAAGACATACCGTACGATCTCACCTGTAAGTGGAACCTAGGGAACAAAACACGTGAGCAAAATAGAACCAGAGGCATGGAAACAGGCACAGACTGTCAGGAACCAGCGGGAAGGGGCGGAGGATGAGAGGAAAGGAAGGGGATGGCCTAGGTAAAGAATAAGTGTGAATAACCCATGGACATGGATGACAGGGTGGGGATTGACTGGGGCAGGGTAGGGGAGAATTCAGACAGCTGAATATATAACAGCGATAAAAAATAGGGGAGCTGAGCACAAGTGAGGAGGCCAAAGGAGAAGTGAGGGGGACCAGCTGGTTTAACTGCAGTGGGTTTAACCCGCTGCAGTTAAACTCACGAGAGATGGTAGCTGGTGCCAGAGTGGGAGTGTGGGAGCTGAAGAAAACTGGCTGAGTTGAGATGCCCCACATGTCCACACCAGATCTCCTTTTTAGGGGACTTGGCAAAGGGAGGTCAAGACCAGGCTTCTCTACAGGTAACTCTCGGGAGAACCCCCTTTGAACTTAAACAGAAGCAGAGGATTTCCTCTGGCTTGAGTGTGTAGGCACCCACTACGTGCTAGAACCAACATTGTCACATTTAAACCTCACAACAACCCTCGGGTGAATGTCATTTGCGTTTCACAGATAAATTTTGGAAAGTGTAGGCAACATGCTCAAAGTAACGGTGGAGTTAGGGTTGGGGCCTCGGTCTGGCCTCATTCAAAGACTAGTTTATTTCATTACATCAAGTTCACCTAAAGTCCGGAACTGAAGAACGAGAGCGTTGTTTCCGGGCGGAGCGGGCAAGAGGCAAACTCCCCAAGGCCGGAAGTTGCGTATTGCAACCCCGCGCCGCCTTCTCGCCCGGGTTGAGGCTGCGGCGGACTGCCCTTCTCCAAAATGGCATCGAAGGTGGGATCGCGACGGTGGACACTGCAGCTGCTTATGCAGTTGGGCTCGGTGTTGCTCACTCGTTGCCCCTTCTGGGGCTGCTTCAGCCAACTCATGCTGTACGCCGAGAGGGCCGAGGCGCGCCGGTAAGCGGCCCTGGCGGTGGGAGGCAGTACGGCGCGTCCCAGGAACGGGGGTGCGGTGAGGCGGGGAAGGTGATGGGGCTCAGAAGTTGTGTCCCTTGGTCTGGGAGGAATTGGGATCTCGGAGTTAGGGTGTCTGGTCGAGAGCAAGGTGGGTTTAGAGCATAGAGCCGGGGGACCTGGCCGTGAGACGGAGTCTTGGTTTGGGGGAGCAGTGGAGTGGGCGGGAACTCAGCGGGGGATCTCAGCGCTCTTCTTTTCGCTTCATTCTGTCCCCGTTGCTTACTCCTTCCCGGTGTGCAGGAAGCCCGACATCCCAGTGCCCTACCTGTACTTCGACATGGGGGCCGCCGTGCTGTGCGCTAGCTTCATGTCCTTCGGAGTGAAGCGGCGCTGGTTCGCGCTGGGAGCCGCACTCCAGCTAGCCATTAGCACCTATGCCGCCTACATCGGGGGCTACGTACACTACGGGGACTGGCTGAAGGTGAGCGCCTCGGCCCTGGGCAGGACTTGTCTAGGGTGTTGGGGAGCCCAAGGCGTGTGGAGATTCTTACAGACTGCACGAATGGAAGGACCTTAGAGACCACACAAGTCTTCCTTTCAGACTGTAGAAACAGGTCCAGAGATGGGAAACAGACTTATCTAAAGTCACGCCACAGCATTACAGGTGGGACCAGCACCCAGGTCACCTGGTTTCCAGAACCCTTTCAACCATTAGTTTAGTAATCTCAGGCTCGGGGCAAAATGAACCTCGGTGAGTGCCTGATCCAACGATCTGATTTTATGAAATTTAAGTAATCCCAGTGTAACATTTAAGTCTGCATGTGACAGAACCTGTGCCGGGCGTCATGGGGTTGGAGACAGGCCTGGACAAAGGCACTGCCCTTGAAGGAATGGGCCGTCTGTCCAGTAGGGGTGGCAGAAGTGTGAGCAGCTACAGGGCAGTGAGATCAGTGGGGTTTTTTTATGGAACAGACTACGTCATAGAGCAGACAGAACGTTGGAATTCCAGCCTGCAGGTCTGGGGGCGGGAAGGAGCCAGTGCTTGGCATATGGGTTCTGCCACTTTCTGTAGGATCTTGGACAATTTTATTAACCCCTCTGGGCCACTTCTGATAAAATAGACTTGTCTGTTTCTGCTGTGCCTGCCCACCACACCTGGAAAAGGTAAGAGGGTTCATCAGATGGAAAGGGATGTGTAGAGAGGACGCTTCCATGCTCTGGGCAGTCAGGAGATCAATGGCAGTCGCAGTTCCTGACGGGGGTCCTCCTTGTCTTGGCCTAGGTCCGCATGTACTCACGTACAGTTGCCATCATCGGTGGCTTTCTTGTGCTGGCCAGCGGCGCCGGGGAGCTCTACCGTCGGAAACCCCGCAGCCGTTCCCTCCAGTCCACTGGCCAGGTCTTCCTGGGCATCTACCTCATCTGCGTGGTAGGTTGGGGGACTGTAGACTGAAGGTGCTTGACTGGGAGTGGAATGTGAGCCCGTGCTTGGCAGAACCCAGGGAGGTGGGCCAAGAAGAAGGTATTGCGTGTGGGTCCTGATGCCTGACTCTGGGACTCGCCCCTGCCAGCACCGGGCCTCAGAGGCCCTGGAAATACCTGAGTCCTGGCCAGCATTCTTCCAATACTATTGCCACCAGGAGGAGAAAAGTTTGGACTTGCCACTCAGTCCCAAGCGTGGGAGCCAGAACAAGATGGATCATTCCTCTCATGGCTCTGGCTCCCAGAGGGAGAGGAGACAGAGGAGAGGTTTGGCGGGGTTCAGGCCCCAGCTGCGACTCCACCAATCAGAGCTGATGGGGGCTGCCTAGGGGTAGCCGATTATGGTCCTCCTTAGTGCCCCTAGGGAAGGCCAGCGTGCAGGGACACGTGATCAGGCTACTTGGCCTGCTCTTAGTTACTGGGTCCCATATTGCATGCAGAGCTCTGGATTCAGAGGTGAGACCCTCAGTCTGGCTGTGGAGACACACCTCCTACGTTCTGAGCTCCCAGGGAGAGGAGAGACGTAGGCCCTAATTTCATGGAGCCCCCTAGTCTGAGGGGAAGGCGCAGGCCTTACTTTCAGAGAGCCCCGACTCTGAGAGGGGAGTCAGAAGCCCACCTCGCAGAGGCTGAGCTCCAGGCTTCCGACGGGCTCCTCAGCCCGTCGGTCAGTCTTACAAGATGCTGTGTCTCTAGGCCTACTCGCTGCAGTACAGCAAGGAGGACCGGCTGGCGTATCTGAACCACCTCCCAGGAGGGGAACTCACGATCCAGCTGTTCTTCGTGCTGTACGGCGTCCTGGCCCTGGCCTTCCTGTCCGGCTACTACGTGACCTTGGCTGCCCAGATCCTGGCCGTCCTGCTGCCCCCGGTCACGCTGCTCATCGACGGCAACGTTGCCTACTGGCACAACACGCGGCGCGTCGAGTTCTGGAACCAGATGAAGCTCCTTGGGGAGAGTGTGGGCATCTTTGGGACTGCGGTCATCCTGGCCACGGACGGCTGAGTCCCACAGGGAGAGGCTGAAACGGGCGTGGGGAGCCACCGAGGGCCACCCTGCCTTTGGGCTGGCCCGGTTACGTTTATTTATGCTCTTTGGTTTGTTCGTTCGATCCTTTGCTCTGTGTACATGTATATGTGTTGGCAACAGGCCGGTCTGTCCCCCAGCTCCTGGGCTCAGCCCTGCATGAGGGGAGCCCTGACGATAATGCCTTACAAGGGGGTGGTGGTGGCTGTTTTTTGTTTTTTCCTGTTTGTTAGGAGGAGAGCGGAGGCCAGCTGCTCCCCTGGGCCTCATGCCTCAGAAAACCGAGTCAGCTGGGCGAGGGTGGGGGTACTGAGAGTGGGAGGCAGAGGAAGGAAGACTGAGAATCAGCGGTGAGCAAAAGGGGAAACTTCCTCCTGAACCTGGCCGATGCAGCCGGGCTTTGCAGTGCTCTTTTGGAGACCGAGACTGAGCATGCGTGTTGACACATGGATCAGGCCCAGGAGGAGCAGAGAGGCTGGGCTCCACAGAGGTCACACGGGTCCTCAGGATAGGCCAGGGGCAGACATGGCACTAGCTGCCACCCACCTTGAGAGCAGAGCGGGCCCCAGACGACTCAGGTGTGGGGGGTGGGGCGGGCAGCGGCCGGCTTCCCGCCTTCTGCCGCCAGTTCCTCGGTTGGCCTGGTGGGAGCGAGTGCCCTCCCAAATACCAGACCACACACTCTTCCAAAAATAAACATTTTATACAGACATTTGGCTTTGCTTCTCTGTTCTCCTCCTCACAGGGCACTCTGCCATTGGCTGGGATTGCTCTTGGGTTTCTAGGAAGACCGGATCCGGTTAACCCCCACCGAGGCCCGCCTTTCCCCTGCCCCGAGAGTTCCCGCAGTCCTCCGGTTCTCTCTCCGAGGGTCGCCTCATCTTCCCCGGAGTACCTTGTTTTGGTCTCTCACCTCACTCCCTCTTGGAGCTTATTTCCCCTCCCCAATTTTGGTGTCAGTTGTTTTCGATGACATCCTTGGAGAGGGCAACTAGAGGGAGAGAACTAACGTTGAGTGTCCAAGGGTTTCACGTTTTACAGATGAGAAAACGGAGACTCGGGGAAGGTAGCAGCTTGCCTCGAGCCGCAGGGCAGAGCCAGCCGGAGAGCTGGATTCCAGGTCAGGTCCGCCCGATGCCCCTGCCCGGGGTGTGCTGAACCCCACCCCTCTCCTGAGGGAAGACAGAGGCAGCTCCTGGGGTTTGGTTCCTTCCCGGCCCCTGGTGCGTTGTGGCAGCTGCTTATTAATTGAACCTCTCCCCACCGGTCCATGCACCTCCTGGCAGGAAGTAGCCCCGACAGCCAGTGTGGGGCCCGGCACGTGACAGGGGTCAGAAGGGTTCAGTGAAACCTCCAGCTTTGGGCTGCGGCCTCTCCGCCCCCACGGAGAAGGAGACACAACCTCCAGGGGCCCAAGGGGAACCGGGCCAAGTCTGGGCTTGGTTCTGGGCCCTGCCTGAAAGGGAGCCGGGCTGCTGAAATTGCTCTGGCGTGTGGAATGGAGGATGTTTCCCAACTCGGGAGCAGGGGAGCCCTCTGGGGGCTGCACTGAGGAACGAATGAGGCCGCAGCGGCCATGGTTCGGCCCCTTCTGTCCCCTCTGGGAGTCCCCAGGTTCTCTGGCCCCGGAGAGCTTGCTCCCAGAGGGCCGCTGCTTGTCTCCTTTCAAGGGTGAGCTAACTCTCGGACAGCAGTTTGCACTTTAATCAAAGCCTCCTGAGAAGTCGGAAGACCTAAAGGGATTAAAACGAGTGGTGGAATGTCAGGTGGATAGGGGTCATAGTGGGGCAAGCAAGCCTCAAAACACAGCACAGAGGCCACAGAAACGGACTTGTTCTTCAGGTGAGCCCTGAGCAGAAGAACCCCTGAAGGCCAGCCCGCCCCTGCCCCCTACCCCAGATCCCTAGACTGAAAGGTGAAGGCCATGTGGTCGCAGCTTTGGAGCAAGCGGGGGTCTTGGGTGGACCCTCTTCCCTGAGCTCATCCCACTTTGCCCTCCGCCTCTGGGCAGAGGAGAGTAGGGGCCGCTTCCTCCATGCGGAGCACTCAGCCAACAGACCAGGTCCAGCTCGTGGCTGCCCGGGCTCCCTTCCAGCGGACGTGGCTTTTGGTCCACCCCGGCTGCCCCAGGGCCTGCGGGACTGGTGGCCAGGGTCAGCTGCCCGGGTCGGAAGCCGGCTTGCAGAAGGAGTCCGGCAGCCCCTTGGCGTGGTTGACCAGCTCGTAGGAGTCTCGAATGTCGGCCAGGCCGAACCAGAAGAAGATCCACTGCTTGTTGGAGAAGCTGCCGTCGCTGTGCTTGAAGTACCTGGTAGGGGGGAGGGTGGCGGTGGCTCTCAGTGCAGGGCCAGTGCCCGTCCCCCCCTGGGCCGTCACTGAGGGCCGCCTACTGCTAGACACGCTGCTGGGAGCTGCCGTCTGCTGTCGGGTTTTACCCTCCCAGCAGCGCCTGAGAGCCTGGTGGTGGTGGTGGGGGCTTTCACAGAGAAGCAGCTGAGAAAGCCCAGAGAAGTGAGGTAGCTTGCGGGAGTCACACAGCTGTGGTTAGAATGAGGGCACCCTCTTCTTGAGCTCCATACAGGGCCCTGGCTCTGCAGCCAGAGGAGGGGTTCCCGTTCAACGCTCGGTGCCCACTAGCAGGGCAATGGGGGGAGAGGGCATAGTGGCTGACGGAAAGAGAGGGCAGGGGGTTCTGCTGGAGATGCAGTGAGCAGAGTGGGCAGTTGGGCATGGCACAGAGCCCGAACCATCAGGTTTCTGGGACCCCGAAAGAGGTGGCGGTGGGGAGGGGGTGTGCTTCGAGGAATCCACGGCCGCAGGGCGCGGGCGGCGGAGTGTGTTCTGTGTGGTCTGCCTCTGAGGAAATCTCAGGCTGTGTGTGTGGTCGGTCCTGGGAGACGCGGGGCTGCAGAGGGCAGGGCCTTTCCGTGGGGAAGGACAGCTAGCGAGGGAAGGGGACGCGCAGCCTTCCTGGCGGCTGGATCCCCGGGGCGGGGCCGGCGAAGGCTGGGGGTGGGGGCGGTGCCCAGCCCAGAGCAGGGAGGGGCGGGACCTACCAGGGGTTGATGGGGTTCGTCACTCGGGAGCGCCAGAAGAGCGTGCGCAGGTCCCGCCGCAGGCACTCCCACAGCATCTGGCCGGAGCCCTGCCCCTGGCGGCTGGAGCTCACCACGAACTTGTCCAGATACGGGGTGCCCCCCAGTACCGGCTCTGTGGTCAGGATGGCGGCGGCGTTATACCTGGTGCCGCGGGAAGAGTCAGGCTGGGACGTCTCCTTGGTCTTAGTGCCCCGCTCTGTCCTTTGGCCCCCGGCCCCCTGAGGCCCCCGGGCTCACCTTTCAGAGAAGTAGACAGAGCGTAGCCGCGGGCGCAGCGAGGCCAGGTAGTCGTCTCGGAGCTTCTTGCCGAAGCTGGCGTTGACCAGGTCCACCAGGCGGCCCTGGTCCAGGCTGTCCAGGCTGCTCACCCGCAGCATCCGCTCGACGTTCTTGAACAGGGTCCCGGACCCTGGGGGTGCGACAGAAGGGAGGGGTGAGTTTCGTTGGAGAGCCAGGTCGCATCCTCGCCTCGTTTGGGTGGCCCAGTGGGGGTTCAAGACAGGGCGGGGGCTCGTTGGGAGATCTCCCCAGTGAAATGCTCTGTGTGGGCTGCGCAGATCTGGAGTGTGACCTGCACTCAGGGAGATGCGTGTCCCGGGCAGTTTGTCCCTGAAGGTCAGCCCACCGCCCGCACTCCCACCTACTTCCCCTGGTCCGACCCCCCACCACTCGCCCACGTCTCCTAGTCTGGTCTGTTCCACTTGGTTCCAGCCCCCCAAGCCCCGCCCTCTATGCCCCAAGCCACGCCCATCTGTCTAGTTCCATCCAAGTGGCCGACGGGCCTGGTGCACTGTGCTCACCTCCGCCAGGTTCAGCAAGAGCTGGAGGCCTTTGAGGTGGAGTCCCCCTATGGTCTTACTGAAGGGGAGGCCCCCCCTACCCCCTGCTTCTCCTGCCTAGCCCACCCCCACCCCAGTGGGCGAGGGCTCACTCCGGGAACCCGGCCGCGCCCACCCGCCTCCTTAACCTTTGTTGCTGAAGAGCTCGGTGAGCAGCGTGCCGGCCGCGGTGATGGCGGCCGAGGAGTGGTGCGGCAGTCGGCTGAGCACGTCCACGATGAGCCGAATCTGCTGCTGCTCCTTGGGGCTCACCCACTTGGCACTGGTCACCAGGTCCAGATCGGCGGGCAGGTTCACGTTACTGAGGACCTGCGTCCGGGGCCTGGGAATGAGCCTCCGGCCCACAGCTGGCCTTGGACCACCCTACCCGAGGGACCTCTCCTGGCCGAGCCCTTGACTCTTACCTCCTCCCAGAGTCCTCGGCCAGAGAGGTCTCTGATCTGGGCACTGCCCGCCGTGCCACTCTCTGTGACACCCCATCTGGACCCGCTAGGCTGGAGAGGGGCTCGGCTAGTCGTGGGGAGCGGGGCCCGAAAGGAGGGGGACACACCTTGTGGCTGCTGTCGCGCAGGCCGCCCCTGTTGTTGAGGAAGATGATCTTGGTGGGCTGCAGCTCCTTGGCCAGCGCGGCGGTCACCTCCAGCGAGTCCAGGAGCACGGAGCGGCGCGCAGCCGTTTCCCCAATGGGGCAAAGGATGGGGATGCTGCCCGACTCCAGGCACCACTGCAGCAGGTCGGTCTCCACGGAGACGACGCCCCCGTAGCTGCGGGCCAGACGCAGTGTTCAAGAGGGCCCCTCCAGGCCGGCCGGGGTGGGGCAGCACGGGCGGGGTCCTCTGACCTGAGTACTCCGCCGCGGGCTGGGCGGGCACTAACCTGGCGTGGGGGGCCGGCTCGGCGGCGCTTAGCACCGACCCGCCACCGAAAAAGGGCACCGCCGTGGCGGCGTTGTGCCGCAGCTCGTCCACCAGCGCCTTGCAGTTCTGGGCGAGCTGAGCCTTGGCCTCCCAGAAGGAAAGGCAGCCTGAGGGCGCCGTGGGGGTGGGCAGCCCCAGGACCACCAAGGGCTTCATGTCCATGCGCTGCAGGAAGGCCAAGGCGAAGGCCAGGCTGGACACGCCCTCTTGGCACTTGAGCACCTCCTCCTCCACCTGCGGAGGAGTGGGCGTGTCAGAAGGTGAGTCGTTGGCCCCGACGCCTGCTGTGCTCTCGGGGCCCGCTAGGTGTCCCCACGCCGCCTGGGAGCAGTCAGGCCCCATGTCTGGCTACTGGCACCCACCTGCTCCGCCCTTTGCCCCGCTGGGTCTTGCCATCCCCTTATCTCACACCAGTGTTCCTCCCTCCGCTCCTCCCCGCGACCTTGGACTCTAGGACATTTTTCGGGGAGGGGGTGACGCAAGTGGCTCCTGTCCAGGTTCCTCAGTTGTCATCCTAACTGGGCCCATGTCCGGTTCTCCAGCGCCTCACACTTGGCGGGTTAGTGTCCCAGGCTCCGCGCTCGGGCCCAGCGCTAGACTTTTGCGAGAGCTCAAAGCCTCGCCCAGTCCTGAGCGCTGTCGGTGTCCCGGGTCCTTTGAGCCCCTTGCGGGTTGCGCTGTGCTGCGTCTGCTCTCCGTCCTGCCTGCCTGGCGACAGGTTGCCCCACAACCCCCACACCCTCGCGGGGACACAGCGGACGCGGGGGTCCTCTCACCTCGATAACAGCGAAGGGCTTGTCCGCAGGGTGGTGCGAGGTCTGGAACTGCATGAGCCAGTGGCGCGCCTCCCCGGGGCTGGCGCCGCACTGGTTCAGGAAGGCTTGGATGTCCCTCTGCACCAGCGAGCGGCCGCCCGCGGGCCCGGGAGGTTCGGGGGGCACCGGGGGCGCGGGGGGTGTCGCCCACAATGGCTTGTTATCTGCAGGTGAGTGGGCATCGTCCTCAACACCCACGGCCTCTTCTAGCGCTGTCTGGGCGGGCGCCCAGGCCGTGCTGAGCCGGCGCCCCGGGCTGGCACCCCTCGCCGCCCACCGCCGCACGCTGCCGCTCAGCCTTCTCCGAGCGCCCGCGGTGCCTCCGGAACTCCACAGCCTGTCGACCGCGGGAGTGGCCCGGAGGGCCCAGGCCAACTGCATCATCGCCATGACAACCAAACCAGCTCTCCCCACCACGAGTGACCGTCTGTGCAGAGCTCTGGGGGCCTCTTAACCTGCCGCAGGACCGGGCTGGCTTGTGGCGGGGGGCTCCCCCGTTGGCTCTGGGTGCGTTTGAAGAGGTTCGGACCGTGGTTCAGGAGGCGGGGCCCACAGGATCCCCCGCCCCCCGGTGGGGGAGTACGGAACTCTCCCTTTAGCGAGGGTCACATGGCTGAGATAAAGGATGACAGCTTCTTTAATCTGCTGCCAAGGCGGGTTGCAGAAAGGGCTCCGCGGATCCAGGGGTGACTTTGGAAAATTAAAGGGGATTCTGACTGAAGCAAGAGGAGAGAGCAGGTGGCATTTACCCCCACCCCCACCGCGGACTGAGGGAGGGGACTGAAAGGAGGGGGGAGGGGGAGGAGGGGGTAAGATGGCAGCGCTGCGGGAGGGCGGGGCGCCTCTGCCCAGGGGTCCAAGCTCAAACAAGGTTGATTCAAGCGCTCCAGCCCCGGAGTACCACCTTGAAGAAGGGTGTCGTATCCTTAAATTACCCCTTATTAGGGGTTAAACACTTTATTTTTAGAGGGGGAGGGGGAGGAGAAGGGAGGGAGAAAGAGAGGGAGAGAAACATCAGTGTGTGGTTGCCTCTCACGTGGCCCTCACTAGGGACCTGGCCTGCAACCCAGACACGTGCCCTGACTGGGAATCGAACCCGTGACCCTTTGGTTTGCAGCCCATGCTCAATCCATTGAGTTACATCAGCTGAGGCTACATTAAACATTTTCTTTAGACTTTATCCATATCAGGACTGCAACTAGAAGGGCGGGGTCACCGACCACAAACAGAAGAAAGCCTTGAGGATAAAGCACAAAACAATAGTATCAAATTCCAGCTGGACAGGGTTACCTGCTCTGTTGGTAACACAGGATGGGTATTAGGATCCCCATTTTACGGATGAGGAACCTGAGGCCCAGAAGTATGTAAGGGCCTGGGTCACTCTGCTGGAAGCAGTGGAGTTGGTCTTGGAAGCAAAGCCGTTCTGCTCCAGGTCCGTGCTCTGAAGCAAGAATTTAAAAGGGTTTGTAAACTTTCACAGGGTGTGATTCATCGGCCATCAGTTGTCCGTGGCCAGCACTGGGCACGCTCTGCTCCATGGAGTCCCACCCTCTGTGGTTGTGGAGGAGGGCACAACCACTGTAGAGGGGCGGTGTCTTGGCCAAGGTCGCACAGCTTTAGTGTCACAGCCAGACCCTCGGAGACCTACATTCCCACCCGCCCCTGCTCACGGCTTCCTTATGTGTGCTGGTCTGTGCCTCCGACCCCCCCCAGCCCCCCGCTCGGTGACAGGCATCCTGGGGCTGTGCCTGAGTGGAGAGAAAGAAACTGGCTGTTTCTTTCCCGAGCATCCCAGAGGATGCTGGGTGACTGCACGGACCCCTTCTGGGGACCCCTCGCCAACACACATACATGCATGCATACGTGCACAGGAGACTTTTGGCCGGGTCGGGGGGAGCTGGCTTTTGTGACCTCCTCCACTAACTTTTTTTTTATCTTCCTACTTAGAAAGCCTGGGTCCCAACAGGCAGTGAGGCAATGGCCCAGGGGCCTCTAGGGCCCCTCCCCTGTGGGGCCACCTCCGGGGCCTTTCCCGCCTTACTGCTGCTCCTCCCCCGCCCCGCCCAACACACACGCACACTTCCCAGAATCCACCAGAAGAGGTGGTTCTAGCCCCTGCCCCGCCCTCAGAGCCTCCAGCCTCAGAGGTGCACCCCTGTCTCCCCACCCCCACACTGTGTCCCCCCTGTGCCTCTGCACTCAGGGTTCCCTGTGCTTCTCTGGGTCTCTGACCCTGCGCTGGTCTTTCTCTACTCCTTCCCGCCCAATGGTGCGCCCCTTCCGAGGCCTTCCCTCCAGCTGCTGCTGCCTCCTGCCTCCTCCCAACTCTGGGGCCCCTGTGAAGGCAAGCGTGGTCTCTCCCTCCACACTAGGGCTCTTTGAGGGCAGGGTTGATGTCTCTCTCCTCGGCCTGGGGGCTCGTCAAGGGCCCACTCATTTCTGCATCAGCCCCATTTCCCCAGAAGGGGCAGGGGCAGATCCTGGCTGGGGAGCTGCTTCCCACTCTTGGGCTTTAGCCCAGAGGGCTGTGGTCCTCGGCAGCCAATGGGGCACCGGGGTATTCCCAGTAGATGATTAACTCCAGGCCCAGCAAGTGACCCTGGATCACTGTGTCAGCAGGGCCTCTCCCCCCGCTGGGGGAAGGGTTATGGGGATTCATTATACTGCCTCTTCACTTTTACATATGTTTGGACATCTTCAACATGAAAACAGTCCAGCCTTGGCTAGTGTGGCTCAGTGGATTGAGCACCGGCCTGTGAACAGAAAGTTTGCCGGTTCGATTCCCAGTTAGGGCACATGCCTGTGTTTCGGGCCAGGTCCCCAGTAGGGGGTGCTGAAGAGGCAACCACACATTGGTGTTTCTCTCCCTCTCTTTCTCCCTTCCTTCCCTCTCTCTAAAAATAAGTAAAATTTAAAAAATTAAGTTAAGTTAAAACTATTAAAAATGAAAATCCAAAGAATTGCCGTATGTGCAAGTTCTCAGTCTGACATAAGGTAAATACTCAATAAAAGTTAGTCTGCTTCTTCCAGGCATAGTTTTCTTACAAGGCATAAGTCTGTGCAATATTCCTAGATACTGCACACACACACAGAGAGAGCGGGGCGCAAGGTCGAGGAGGGGGCCCTGCGATTTAAGACGATCCGTTGCAAGTGTGCTATGAGCTTCTTGTCCAGCAGAGGGCTCCCTACTCTCTGCTTCTCTCTGGCTACTTACCCTGGTGGTGGCGGCGGCGCCGGGGGCCAGGGGTTGTCCAAAGGAAGAGATTAAAAGTGTAAGAGAGAGATTGCTGACAGGTGAGCATCTGAATAGAGACCTTCCCTCAGAGATGATTAAGAGAAAAGAGACAGGTAGGTAGGTAGGTGGGTGGGTAAAAGAATGTGTCCACAACCCTGTGACAGGAAGGGTCTTCCTTCCGGGTGACAATCTCTGGAGGTTGGGGGTACTCAGCGAAGGCTACTATCTTAAAGATAGTCACAGCAAACTCTTCCTCAGTTACTGTCCCAAGCATGCAACATGTATTAACTTATTTAATTCTCGCGGGAATGCTGGGAAGTGGGTGTGGCCATGATTACAGAATTCCTAGGAGGCTGGTTTTCCACGAGTGAAGATGCAGTGCTTTCCGGGCACAGGTGGCGCTTCCCAGCAGCCCTGCATGTGCACAGGAGCTGCCACGGAGCCCACGGTGGATGCTGGAGGCATCCAGAGAAGGAGGCCCACCAGGAATCCCCCGGAATACACGGGTGGAAATGTTTCAGGAAGGAGGGGGCAGCCTGCGATGTCGCCACTTCAAAGCCTGAGTAAAGGCCATCGGCTTCACTCATCACTGGCTCTTTTGAGTCGGTGGGGTGGTGGGGGGCCAGGCTGGGGAAGCCGGCTGGCGGGGGGGGGGGGGCGGGGCCTTGGATGCGGCCCGAGTTCTCGGATGGAACTCCCCAGGAGACTGTGGTCGGAGAAAGAGGCCGAGGCTGGTTACTCGAGTGTGGTCGGTCCGTGGCACCACCTGGGCCCTGGTTAGAAAGTGGAGTCTGGGGCCCCGTCTGGGCCTGCGGAGTGAGAACCTGCATTTTCACTAGATCCCTGGGGATTCTGTATGTGATCAAGTCCAAAAATAGGCGAGCAGAGATGTGGGCGGGTCCCTAGAGGTGGTGGCGTTCCATATGAGGATGTGCCGGTGAACCTGAGGCCGAGGAGGAGGTGGAAAGGGGAGCAGAAGACGCTGCCGTGGAGCTGGGCTGGGCGTGGTGTGCGTGAACTTCAGGGCCGTGCGGGGTTGGGGTGCTCTGCGGGACTTGCGGTTAAGGGGGCGTCGTTAGTGCTGGTGGTAGAATCCTGTCCCGTGGCGGGAAGCTCCCGGGGAGGAGTGTGTGGAGGTGTTTCATCTCATTCATGTTCCTTTGGAACAAGATACTTTGGGGGTCAAGTCTTTTCAGGTGTTATATATATATATATATATAAAGGATTTTTGTGTCCTTTCTGTGTAAGTAACAATTCGCAATCATGCTATATAGAATAAATAAAAGCCTGATGTATTGTACTTCAAAGGATTTTGTGTCCTTTCTGTGTAAGTAACAATTCGCAATCATGCTGTATAGAATAAATAAAAGCCTGATGTATTGTCCGTGTGTATGAGGTGTGGGGCAGAGTTCATGTGCGTGTGTTGTATGTTTGTGTGTGTGTGTTTACATGTTAACAGGCAACGAATGGAAATTTCATATGGTTAATCATATTAGTGCACGTCCCAAGGTGAGGTCGTGTGTAGGGAGGGGATGGTGGGGTATCAGGGCTCAGGAAACTGTCGTAGTTTGGTCAATAACCTCTTGGAATTAGGGAACTTAGGGCACAGGTCCAGGTCCCAAACTGCCCATTCGTTCTGACCTCAGTGTGCAGAGGACCGATGCCACTGGGTGCCGGCAAAGTTGTAGTTGCAAACTATGGCCACAAGGGGGCGACGTCGATCCGGCCACACGGTACCAGGTCCGGGTGAATCCCCACTGGCAGAATGGGGTCTGCGGGCAATGCTGAGATTCATCTGGGGAGACTAGTGGGATCGTGCTCTGGGTGACTGGTGTGGGGGTCAACTCCTGGTCCCTTCATGCCCCGGCTTACCACCCCTTCCCCCGGGTTCTGGCCACCCCACCTTCGCGCACCTCTCTTGGATCGGGATACCCCAGCCCTCTGCCTTGAAAATCCAGCCCGGGGGCGGGGTCAGAGTGAGGACGCAGCCTAAGCCGGGAATCAGGGCAAAGGTGTTGGGAGTGGGAGGTTTTATTTGGGGCAAAGGCGGGAAGAGGGGCCTCAGGCATCCTCAGTCGGGGCACTCGGTGGAGCATACACTGTGCCGGCAGGGTGATGGGTGAGTGTACCCCTAGATAGGGCGTGGCCCTGACCTTGATCTGGGGTCAGAATGTGCAGGTTCCAGTCCAAGCCTCATTCACAGACTGGCCTTGGGCTGCCTGTGAGGAGGACTTGCACTCCCACTGTAGTGGTCTTCCTGTTTCGGCTTCTTCGTGGGGAGAAACGTCGCATCCCTGGCTTAGTGTGGTGGGGCGGGGGAAGGGCAGGGGTATGGCAAAGCGGAGGGTAGGTGGAGGTCAGTGGTCTGGGTGACAGTTAGGGAGACCTGGGCAGCCACTGCAGGATTTTGAGGAGCGTGGCCGGATCCTAGCTGGACTCTTGGAAGATAAGGAATGGACTGAGGGTGGGGTGGGA